GAGCAGCACAGGCGGCAGCAGCGGTTGCAGCGGCTGACCGCCCAGCAGCCCAGCAGCGGCAGGGGGGACGTCAGCAGCAGCCCCAGGCAGCCTCCGATACGATCCTTTTTCATCATCCGCGGCCCCAGAGCTCCCGACCCTTGCCCCGGGGGCAGTTTCGCGCCCCTCTGCGCCAAAGGCCGCGCACCGCACCAGGCAGAGACCAGAATATGTCCCGCTGGTCGCTCGTTCCCGATGCACTGCTGCTGGCCCAGGGGCCCGGTGAGGGGCCCTGGAGGCCGAGACGAAGGATCGCGCCGCAATACGGTGAAGGGATAGTCCCAGGAGGCGCCAGACCCTGGAGGATTCCTCAGCCAATGAGGGCGGCGGTGATATCCATGGCCGATCCACGATTGGAGTTCCACTGGCTTCCAGACCGTGGATTCCCGATCTAAGGGTTCCTTCTCCAATGCCCACACCGTCCGTAGCCATTTTGGCTCAAGCTGGCTCGGTCCCCCTGCGCGACGAGCGGTGCGAGCATGTTGGCTGCGGGAGTGCCCCTCCGTGGGGCCGCTGGGGCGCGTGCCTCGGCTGACCGGCTCATCTTCAAGATGAAGGGCGAGCTGAGCGCGGCGAAGCTGGAGCTCGACCGCCTGCGAGGGCTGCTGGACCGTGCAGCTGGCAGCGGCGGGGGCGCGGCCGAGGGCGAGGCTCGCCACCGCGAAACCATCTCGCGGCCTGCGCTGGTGGCCAGGCTCGCGGGGGACCAGGAGCAGCTGGAGGACCGCGTGCGCCGCAACGTGGCGTGGCACGCGCAACGCTGCCCCTCGGCCTCGGCGCCTCCAGGCGTTTGGCGGCGCGCCCAGCGAGGCCCGCGCCTCGGGGCCAGGCGCCCGCGAGGGGGCGCGGGGCTGCGCGCGGACGCCGAGGTTTTCGTGCCTGCAGCTGGGGTCTGGGAGCCGCTGGGTGGCGGCCAAGTTTTTCGCCGTGAAGCTGCCGAGTTCCTTCCTGGGGCAGGTCGCTGGTTTCCGCGTGCGGATGGGTCAGCCCCCGCGGGCCTCCATTGCACTTGCGATTCGCTGGCATTCTCCTCGGTGCTCATCGGCGCGACCTGCTTGGAAAAGCACCCTGTGCGGAGGGCTCTGGCGCTGGCGGAGCCGCCTGCCGCCTGCGCCCGATGTTGCAGGCGGCGGCGCTTTGGGGCCCCTGCGAGGGATGCCTGCTCTGCTGCTGGGGCCGCCGTGGTCGAGCGGGACGCGAAGAGCGAGTGCATCGGCGAGCGCCTCGCGGAGCTGGAGCAGTGGGCGGGCGCGACTACCCGTCTTTTCGTTCGACGGCCGGCGCGGCTCCGCCATGGCGGTTCCAGCGAGCAGGGCGCGTTCGTGCAGGTCGTCTTGCAGGGGCAGACACTGGATATTCGGAAGCCCGCTGCCGACTACCTGGCTGCACTCGTTCAGCTGGTCGGCGAGCTTCGCCTCAGCCCGACGGGACTCGAGGAGATCGAGTCGCTCTCGTTGGGGGCGGAGGCGGAGCTCATCGAGCAGATGGCGCAAGCAGGGGAAGAGGAGGATCGTGCCTTGAACCTGCGGGAGTTCGAGAGCAGTTTGCTTGCGCTCCTCGATGCGCTAGGAGTGCTCGGCGGCGCAGGCCGCGGAGAGGAGGCGCGCGAGAAGACTGAGTATGAAAAGCTGGTGCTGCTGCGCGACGTGGAGCCGCGGCGCCTAAGCTGGTTCCGCGGCAGGGTCGCGGCGATGTGGCTGGCGCGGAAAGCGGGGTGGAAAGAGCCACCCGAGGACGACGCCGACGCCGACGCCGAGTGGCCTGGCGGCGAGTCCGAGCGCGCGCGTAGGGCGGACGCCAGCGGCGTCGAACCGCGAGGGGACCCTTTGGCGCGAGAGTGACGCGTGCGGAGCGTAGTCGTTTGTGCCCGCGATTGAATCACATTGCGCGCGCGGGGCCCCAGGGGCCCTTGAAGAGAGAAGCAATGCCCAAGCCGTATTTGGTTTACTTGTTATGTGCGTTCCTCTTTTGTTCTGCTTGCTTTGTTTTGGGAAGTATGGGGCCGCGGTCGGCGGCAGCAAGCTGCAGCAGCGGCACGGCGGGCAGCGCGGCGGCAGCGGCGGGAGAGGGGCGAAGCCGAGCAGGGCGCGCGCGAGAGAAAGAGAGAGAAGGGGGAGGAGAAGGAGAAAAAGAAGGAGGGGGAGGAGGAGGAGGAGGAGGAGGAGGAGGAGGATGAGGAGGAGGAGGAGGAGGAGGAGGAGGAGGAGGAGGAGGAGAAGGAGGAGGGCGCGCGCGAGAGATAACGAGAGAGGCGATCGCAATACATGGATCAAAGGGGGCGTGGATTAGCGACGGGTCCTGTTTTCATAGGGGAATCGCGGATTTTCGCCGCCGAGCGAGGCGGCGCCAGCCGCATTTTGGGGAGGGCGCCTCCCCCGATCCATGGATTTGGCGACCGCGCACCAAATCCATGGGTCGCCAGTGCATGAGTGCGCGCCCTCGAGAGAGACAAGGAGAGAGGGATCAGCGGTTCAAGATTGGGGTCCTGAGGGATGGGGTCCTCAGGATAAGGAGGGATCCGACGGTGGGTGCACGTTGTTTGAGGCATCTCGTTTTCAGGACCCCATCCTTCAGGACTCCATCTTGGAACCACCGAGGGGAGGCGGGCGTCGTGCGGCGCCGCGGGAGACACCGAGTTATAACCCAGCGCCACCGGACGTGTGGGGAGCCAAACGGGGCGGAGGACGGCAGGGGAGGACGGGCTCCGCGTTTCGACCCCTCGGGCTCGAGTCGGTGCGATGCTGTGACGGCCTCCGGTGCCGATCCGATCTGCGGATTCCGATCTGGGTTCCAATCTCATCATGGAGGCCTACTCGCTTGCCGATTTCCGCTGGTCTGATTCATTTCGATCACCGACCCGGCTGATCGATTCGATACTTTGTTAGCCTGAGGGGGATAAGAAGCCACGGATGGACGGCAGGGTCTTGTCGTGTCGGCGCGGCGGCGCCAGTGGCCCAGAGTCGGCCAACATGGAGCGATTTGGCGATCGAGAAGTCGCCGATCGGTCAAGGCGGATCAATCCACGCGGTGTCACAATACAACGCCGGGTCGTCACGACACGAGCCTGCCATATATGATCCAGGGCCGATGGTTTGCAGGCCCCCCCCCCGCAGATTGGGATGGGCCCCAGGATTCCACAGCCCCCCCCTATACGGGATGGGGGGGTCGATGTTGACGACGACGACGACGACGGCGACGACGACGACGACGACGCTGACGACGACGCCGACGCCCACGACGACGACACTGACGCCGAGGCCGACGCCGACGACGACGCCGACGCTGACTCCGACGCCGACGACGATGCCGACACCGACGACGACGACGACGCTGACGCCGACGCCGACGGAAGACGACTGACGACGACGACGACGACGACGACGACGACGACGACGACGACGACGACGACGACGGCGACGGCGACGGCGACGGCGACGGCGACGGCGACGCTGGCGGCGGCGGTGCTGGCGGCGGCGGCGGCGACGACGACAACGACCTCGACCTCGACGACGACGACGACGACGACGACGACGACGACGACGACGACGACGACGACGACGTCCACCATCCACCACGCCACGCCCACCCACAGAGCCACGACCACATCGGGGGGGGGGGGGGCGACCCCATTCGCGAGGCCTTCGCGAGGCTCACGGGCCGACCCATCCATTGGAGGGGCGGGCGGAGGGGCGATCCCAATCGCATTGAAGTGGGGGGGGGGCCGAGCCCTGGATCATACATAAATGGCTTTGTGCGCATCCCGTCAACGTGCGCGGACAAGATGTCTCCTGCAGGCCCTCCTGGGGGCCTCGTGGGGGGTCTCTTGGAGGCCTCTCTCGGGGGCCTCCCTTGTGGTGACCTGTTGGAGGCCTGATGGACCCCTCTCGGAGGCCTTCCCCCCCCCCTGGGGCTCTCTGGGAATTTTTTGGGGCCTTCTCGCAGGACCGCCGAGGCGAGCGTGTGAAAGTTTAGGGGCAGCACAGACAGACACGGTGCTTCCCCGGGATGCTGGCCTCCGGGGCCGGCCGCCAAGGGTGCCCCATACAGGGAGAGGCCGAGGGAGAGGCCGACGCACGGAGGAGGCCCCGCGGCAGCAGGGCGCCCCTGGGACCACACTGGGAGGCTGGGCCTCGGCCCTCGCTAAAACACACACACACACACACACACAAACGCACGCACGCACGCACGCACGCACGCACGCACGCACGCACGCACGCACACACACACACAAACACACACACACACACACACACACACACACACACACGCACGCACGCACGCACGCACGCACGCACGCACGCACGCACGCACGCACGCACGCACGCACGCACATACCCACACACCCACACACCCACACACACACACACACACACACTTAAACAGCAGCAGAGGAGCAGGGAGTCACGGCAATTGTTGGGGGCACAAGCAGTTACAGAAGCATGGAAATTCCGAGGACCGCGCGGGTTCCTCGGATCGGCACTGGGGCCCCTTTGCAAGGGAGGGGTGTCCAGCACCGATCCGAGAAAGTCGCGCGGCCCTCCGAGTTTTTCAGTTTCATGCCATCGCGTATTCCCCAAATGATGCCTTCCAAGGTGTCCAATGCTTCAGTGTTTGCTGTTGTTCCGCGCCGGCTCCAGGTGATCGTTTTCTCATTCATTGTTTTGCCGATCGGCGCGGGCCCTCGCGCAGCCGCCCCCCAGAGTAGATCTTGGCTGTTTGTGCGCCTGTTTCATGCAGGCGGATATCTCCCTCGCAGGACGCACTGTTGCAACCAGCCGCACGAAGCAAAGGTCCAGAGCCAGAGAAGGAGGAGGAGGAGGAGGAGGAGAAGGAGGAGGAGGAGGCGGAGGAGGAGGCGGAGGAGGCGGAGCAGGAGGAAGGCAGGAGGCAAGGAGCAAGGACGAGGAGCGAGGAGGCGGAGCGAGGACGGGCCCGGACGCCCGGCACCGCCCCCCCGCGAGGCTGGCGCGCGCGGACCTGCCGAGCCGCGACGTGCCCGTGCCGAAGGAGCTCGTGGAGCACCTCATGACGCCCGAGCACCGGCAGCTGCTCTCCGAGGACGGCGGGCGGGTCTCCGGGGGGCCCGCGCGGGCGCGGACGACGACGACGACGACGACGACGACGACGACGACGACGACCACGACCACGGCCACGACCACGACCACGACCACGACCATGACCACGACCACGACCACGACCACGACCACGACCACGACCACGACCAGGACCAGGACCAGGACCGCGACCACGGCTACGGCCACGACCACGACGCCGCCCGCCGCCCGCCGCCGACGTCCGACGCCCGACGCCGACGCCGACGCCAGCGACGACGACGACCGTGACGACGGCGTCTTGAAGGAGATTGGGCCTGGAGTGAGCACCCAGAACGTACAAGGGTGGTTGCTGGCTAAGCCGAGTCAGGAGCAGTGGGACTAGTACGCACGGAGCTCAACACGCGGATTGAAAACGTAGGTCTGCCGCGATGCGTTTGCCCCAAACGTGGGCCAACACGAAGTCCGAACATCTGAGGAGCAGGAAAGGGTGTGGCCAAGAGTCTCTCGTCGGCTGCAGCCCTGCACGCCGCCACGCTGTCGGCCTCACCCCAACATAGTAATACTATATGTGCGTCGCCCCTCCAGGGGCGACGCGCGCACTGAGAAATCTTATAGTATATGCGTCGTGGCGGGCGCTTTCTGGCCACACCGCTCGGGAAACGATGCACTACAAGACGGTTCTACGACATGTTCGGGTCGGACGCGCGCCTCCACGGCGGACACATGGCACTAGTTTGTATGTCCCTAGGCCTCCCACGCTGGTCCCGGGCAGGCCGTGGGCCTAGAGTCGTGTCGTCGCTGTTTCCTGGCTGCCGGGGCCCTCTTCCTCTGTGGCACCCAAGGTCATTGGTCCGAAAGATACCCGTACCCGGGGCCAGCCAGGGTGAGATGGGCCGTCCGGGGGACCGGGCGTTTGCTATTGTGCCTGGTCAGCTTGCCCCGCGCGCGCCAGTGCAGCATCCGCGTGTCAAGACGCAACGGCGCGTGTCTGATTGCAGCGACAAGCGCTGGTTTTTTTTAGTGACGTTTCGGGGCATCGTGGTGCGCCCGCGGCTCAAAGCCGCCCATATGTGGTGGCGCCTGTCCCAATTGATAACAAGATGCGTTTCCTCGCTATCATCCTGGCAACCAATGCGCCTGGGCATGCCCTGAGGAATAACGTTGCAATGTCGCGCCCCCAGGGGGCCGCACCGGCCACGTTGGGGACGGCTCTGGACGGCATGCGATGTGCTCGAGAGCGTTTTGGGCCTGCCGCCACCTCGGCTAGGTACGGGGACTTGCCTGAAACCACTGAAACATACCCGGACCTAGCTGGGGTGGAGCTGCGACACCCCGGCTAGGTACGGGTATGTTTTTGGGCTTTCTGGGGGCAACCGTTCCTAGCTGGGGTGATCCGCTGACGGCCGTCCAAGGGGGGCGGCCTCTGGCGACCTCGCCCAGCGCTCAGAGCCGCGATGTCTCTGCATCGATCAATTCGCGATTGGGTGGTTGTCGCGCTGTGACGTTCGCGCCAGAGTTGTTCGCGTGCACCCCCGAGCGCGCGTTGATTCCTCAACGCCAGGATATGTGTCTCTGGGGGCGCGCCTCCTATGCAGCTGGTCTACATCTACAGCAACCAACGGGGGGTCGGCCATTCCGCCGATTCGAGCGCACGCGCGATCGGTGCTGACGTGCGCCTCGAGAGGACACCGGTCTGCAATGCTCGATCGGCCGTCGCTTCTACACTTGTGCAGCCGCCGTCAGCTGCGACGAACCGCCCCCCCAGACCCTTGCCACCCTGTCTAGGTAAGGGTACGGGTATCTTTCGCGCTCGAGACAAGGGGCCGCCGAGGCGCGGCGCGGAGAGAGGAGGAGGCCGCTGCCGCGGGGAGGCCTCGGAGCCCATGGCCCGTGCGGGGCTCGTTTCGAGCCTCCCGACTCCGATGTCGATTCGAGTTCGGTCGATTCCGATTCCGACTCGATCCGGCGTCGATCGGCTTCGATCGATGCGATGCGATTCGATTTCGATAGGTTCGACCTAGGACCTCGATCTTCGAAGTTTCGAAGTCCTCCCCCGCCCCCCCCCCTACACCCCTCGACGACCTGCGTCTTGCCCGCGGCGTGGACTCCTGGGACCTCCCCGGGGTTCATGTCAATTCCTCCGATTCGACTCGTTTCGATGTCAAAGGTTACCGGGTCCGATTCGATTCGGCTTGGCGTTCCGACGTGGATTCCGCTTGCTCTTTGGAGGCTTACTGGCGTGCCGATGTCGGCCGATTCTTTTTTTGTTCCCCCGACTCGGCTTCCGATTTCTGCCGATCCGATCGATTTCGATCGCCGATCCGAGTCGTCGACTTGATTATGAGCTCTCCTTCCCTTGCCCCCTCGCGGCCCGTGGATCGGGGATTCCCAGACGGTGCGGTGACCGCGCCGCGTGTTGAGCCACCATGGCTTCGGGGTCCCGTCGCGGCTCTGGGACTCGAGTCGTTCTCCGAGGGCGCCTCGGGCGACGGACGGGATTCCGAGGCCCCCAGACGCTGCGGCGACGCACCGCGCTGGGAGGCCTCCTGTTATTCTGGGGTCGCCACGCGGTCCAGGCACCACGCAGCTCGGGGCCCCGGAGTGGGCCCTCGAAAACTTCGGTGGGGCCTCCGCGTTCGAGGAGAGTCAAAAGGAGGTCGGGCCGCAGCCCTGGCGCGCCGCCGAGCGAGCTGCGGTTCCCCGGGCACGGGATCCGAGGCGGGGATTGATCCATGATGTCCACCGCCTGGAGGGTCAGTTTTCGGAGCTTCGGCAGGCGGTGGACGCGGGCATCTTCGGGCCCCCGCGGGGGCCGGCATATATCCATGCCCACCGCCCGCTGCGGCACCAGGACGTCGGTTCCCAGGCGGTGGATACGGATAACTCCCCGCCGCGCACGGGAGGCGCGCGGCGAGGGGGGAGACGGGCAGGGCAGAGCCAGATTTCGGCTGGCCCAAGAGGCGCCACAAGAATGAGCGCTCCGGTCAGAGCGCCGTCGCGTCGCCTGAGGGGCGAAGCGGCGGACGGCTCGGATTAGAACCTTTTGAAGCGGTGGGCTCCCTGGTTCTGTTCGACTTGGCTTGTTTTCGGCTCCTGCGGCATTGGTGCCCGGCCCGCTGCAGCGAAAGCGAAAGACGAGGGAATGCAAAGCACACTGCCGCAACTGGGCGGGGAGGCCTTGCAGAGCCAGGGGTGGGAGCAGGATCCGAAGAGGGAGAAGGGGCAGGAGAAGCAGAAGCAGAGTCCACCCAGACGAGCCACTCCAGAGCTCCCTGCCCCGAGTCTGGAGACCCCCTCTGACCTCTTCGCCAGACCCCACCCAGAGCCCTCCAAGACACTCAGATCAGGCCCTGCCCCCCGACATCGAACCCCTCCAAGACAGCTCAAATCCCTACGAACGTGACACCGGCCGTGCAGTGCGGGGGGCGGCGGCCCGTCTTCCCATCCCACCGCCATACGGGGATGGGAAGTTCCCGAAGACGGAACGGGGTGCGGGCCCCATATCCGGCGGAAATTTACCGTCGCAGAGCATGAAGCTGCCCGCGTTCCCGCACGCACTGAGGGCGGAACGGATCGTGCAGCTGGCGGGCCTTGACCTGGGAGGTCCAGAGCGGCCCAAAGCCAGCGGAACGCGGACAGCACAAAGGGACCCCCGTGCAGTTGCGCGCGCGAGCAGAGCACAGCGCAGGGTGGAGTGGGTGGGCAATGAGACAGCGCCGTGCACCAGGCACGCGCCCAGACCCACGCCGAGCGGCCACGCGCCGCTGACGCGCACGAGAGTGCGCCAATCAACCAACCAACCAGCCAGGATGAGGGAGGAGGAGGACGCGGCGTGGCATCCCCACGCCGACTTCCACCGGCCGCGCCGCAGCCCAAGGCGCGGAGCACAGGAAGCACCCGACAGAGACCAGCAGGGCGCTAGGGAGGGCCTGCGGAGACCCACGGGGACACCCCCGAATCCGCAGCCCCGCTTTGGGAGCGCCCACGGGCGTGACAGCAAGAAGGCCAGTAGGCAATGAGGCAACAAGTGGCAAATGCACAACACCCCCGCTCCTCAAATTTCCCCGCCCCCCAAATCGCCGCGCAATCTAGGGGCGACTCAAAATCAAAAGGTGAGCATTATTTCATTATTTTGTTTTGCTTTCGGCGGAACGCCCCCCCCCCCCCTCCCCCCCCCCCCCCCCGTAGAGAAGTTCCGGGCTGATTTTGGCACCTGCTTCAATCGATCGGACGAACTACAGGGGCCGGCGCCCCCCCCCCTCCCCCGGTAGAAACTCGACTCGCTGATGTGTGCAACTGTGCGCATTTTATCGTGCTACTCTTCTGGAACCACAACGAAAGGGCTCAGGGGCGCCGGGCCCGATCGCCAGAAAGCACGCCTCCGGCTGGGCCCTCCCCTGTTATGCCAGCGACGGCCTCGTGGAATCATAAATAGGTGATCCCTAGCAATTCTGGCACAGGCTTGCCAAATCACGCATAGCCTTGGCGCATCCCCCCTAGGATTCCCTCATCGGCATCTCCCACAGGATTCCCCACATGATTCAATCGGAGGCATTGACTACGGGCCGAAAGCCGGACCCCCCCCCCTCCCCCCCATGCGCCTAAAGCCGGAACCCAGAATAAAAAAATGCTCACAAGAGGCATCATAGCCTCATCATTGACCGTTCTCGTTGGCATTTATGCTTTGCGTCACCACCGATCAGCGGTGATGTCCATGGCCGATTCACGATTGGAGTCCCGCTGGCTTCCAGACCCTGGAGTCCTTATCTGAGGGTTCCTTCTCGGACGCCGGGCAAGGGCTGCTAAATCCGTGGCTGCTAAAATCGACCTCCGGGAAGTTGTCTTCGCCCTTCCGGGAAGAAGCCCGTTGACTGTTTCGCGTGCCGCGCCTCATTCCGGGAAGCTGTTTTTTCCTTCCGGGAGGGCCGTTTTAGCAGCCGCGGTTTTAGCAGCCCTCGCCCAGCTTCCGACCTTCTCCAATGCCCACACCGTGGCCGCCGGCCTGGGTCTGCCCACCGCCGGGGCCGGGGGGAGCCGCCGCTGGGAACCCCCGCGGGCGGGCGGCGCAGAAAGCAGGCGGCCCGCGGGCTCGCGACCGCCCCCACCTCGGCCGCCGGAGCGGGCGTGGCCCCCCCGTGGCGTCGCACGCCGCGCCCCCGCGTGCCTCCGCTGCGCGGCACGCGCGCGCCCGGCGCGCGCTCGGAGAGCTCTATAGGAAGCAGCGCCCGCGCCGTGCCCGCAGGGGGTGGCCACCCGCTGCGGGTCCGCGGGCCCGGGCCCTGCCGCGGCGCCGCGGCCGACGTCGGCACGGCGCCCGCCCGCCCGCCGGCGGCCACCCGTATAGAGAGCGCCCCCGGCGCCGCCGGAGCACGCGTGCGGGGAGGCCCGCGGCCGAGAGCAGCAGCTCGGGGGAGGGCTCGGGGGGGGAATCACCACCCACCAAACCACCCCAACCCAACCCGAAGGCCTCAAATTGACTTCCATTTCCAGGGGGGGGGTCGTGGAACATCGAGAAAACACATATGGAGCCCGTGCCCCCCCCAACCCGAAATTCGGGTCTTCGGGTTGGGTTGGGGTGGTCTGGTAGGTAGTCAGGGAAGCGCACTTTTTGGTCTGCGGGTCGAGAGCGAGGCTCTTCCGGTTAAGAGCCAGGCGGGCCGCGCAAAGCACTACTTGGGAGGGGGGGGGAGCGCGCACAGGCACGATGGGATGTAGACCTCAAGAGACGATGAGAGAATTTGGGAAGTGGTGGGAAGACGAACATCAAGAAATTATCCTGGCGAAGGACCCAACCAGATGCAGTTGCGAGTACCGCAATTGTGAGTAGCTTCTTCGATGGCGTTCCCTATGGGGCCACGAACCGTATGAGGGGTGTGCCGAAATCTGTGCGGTGGGCGCATGGGAGCGCAGCCACTGGGGCCTTCGCTGGAGCTCCCTATGGGGCCACGAAGCGTGTGAGGGGTGTGCCGAAATGGTGCGGGGGCGCATGGGAGGCAGCCCACTGGGCCTTCCGATGGAGCTCCCCATGGGGCCAACGAAGCTGTGTGAGGGGTATTTTGGCCGAATGGGCTGCGGCCGGGCGCATGGGAGCGCAGCCACTGGGGCCTTCGGTGGAGCTCCCCATGGGACCACGAAACGTATGAGGGGTGTGCCGAAATGTGTGCGGCGGGCGCATGGGAGCGCAGCCACTGGGGCCTTCGCTGGAGCTCCCTATGGGGCCACGAAACGTATGAGGGGTGTGCCGAAATGGGCGCGGTGGGCGCATGGGAGCGCAGCCGCTGGGGCCTTCGCTGGAGCTCCCTATGGGGCCACGAAGCGTGTGAGGGGTGTGCCGAAATGGGCGCGGCGGGCGCATGGGAGCGCAGCCGCTGGGGCCTTCGGTGGAGCTCCCTATGGGGCCACGAAACGTGTGAGGGGTGTGCCGAAATCTGCGCGGTGGGCGCATGGGAGCGCAGCCACTGGGGCCTTCGCTGGAGTTCCCTATGGGGCCACGAAACGTATGAGGGGTGTGCCGAAATGGGTGCGGTGGGCGCATGGGGGCGCAGCCACTGGGGCCTTCGCTGGAGCTCCCTATGGGGCCACGAAACGTGTGAGGGGTGTGCCCAAATGGGTATAGCTGACGCATGCGAATGGGAGGCAGCCACTGGGGCCTTCGTGTGAGTCACATGGGGCCACGAGCGTTGATGGGTGTGCCGAAATGGGTGCGTGGGTGCGGTGGGCGCATGGGAGCGCAGCCAGTGGGGCCTTCGCTGGAGCTCCCGATGGGGCCACGAAACGTGTGAGGAGTGTGCAGACATGGGTGCGGTGGGCGCATGGGAGCGCAGCCACTGGGGCCTTCGGTGGAGCTCCCTATGGGGCCACGAAACGTGTGAGGGGTGTGCCGAAATCTGCGCGGTGGGCGCATGGGAGCGCAACCACTGGGGCCTTCGCTGGAGCTCCCTATGGGGCCACGAAACGTGTGAGGGGTGTGCCGAAATGGGTGCGGCGGGCGCATGGGAGCGCAGCCACTGGGGCCTTCGCTGGAGTTCCCCATGGGACCACGAAACGTGTGATGGGTGTGCCGAAATGGGTGCGGTGGGCGCATGGGAGCGCAGCCACTGGGGCCTTCGCTGGAGCTCCCTATGGGGCCACGAAGCGTGTGAGGGGTGTGCACAAATGGACGCGGTGGGCGCATGGGAGCGCAGCCAATGGGGCCTTCGCTGGAGCTCCCTTATGGGGCCACGAACCGTATGAGGGGTGTGCCGAAATCTGTGCGGTGGGCGCATGGGAGCGCAGCCACTGGGGCCTTCGCTGGAGCTCCCTATGGGGCCACGAAACGTATGAGGGGTGTGCCGAAATGGGTGCGGCGGGCGCATGGGGGCGCAGCCACTGGGGCCTTCGCTGGAGCTCCCTATGAGGCCACGAAGCGTGTGAGGGGTGGGGAAGGGAATGTGGGAGGGAGCAGTGCAGTGGAGCCAGGGTTTTTTTTTTTGTTCTGGGCAGCAGGACGCTCGGGGTCGTGTCTGCAGTGTCCAGGGGGGGGGGGGCAGGTCCACGGTGTGGATGGGCCTCGCGGCTCGAAGAGGCCGGACAGCTCCCGAGAAGGTACATACCTCCACCAGGCGTCGGACCCCTCGCCCACCAACTCTCCTCACCCAGCAGCTCCCCCGTGATACGTCCGAGAGCGGTTATTTGTTTTCTCTCTCCCTCTCTCTGTTTATTTTGTTTGTTGTGTCTCTCTCTCTCTCTTTCTCTCTCTCGCTCTCTCTGTCTTTGTCTCTTGGGTTCTCTCTCTTTCTCTTTCTTTGTTTAGTAGATCTTCCTTTGTATATATATATATATGTATATATACATACATACACCCACGGCGACCCCTTCTGCCAGCCCGCACTCATCTTTCGGGGATAGCGTTAGGGGGGAAAGGCTCAGGGGTGGCTGCACCGACTTCCAATCGCCCACTCATCGCCGACGGGAGCCCGATAGCCCACCCCGCCCGAGGACGTGCGGGATGCCCTGCCAGGGGGTCGGTGGATATTCCAGAACTCCGCGAACGCATCCTAAGCCAGTCGCATCGTGACACCATGCAGGGGTCCCCAAGCGATGTGGTGACCACACCACGTAGTGAGTCAGTTGGGATTCGGGGTCGCCCTGCGGTTTTTGGACTCGAGTCGTTCTTCGTGGGTGTCTTGAGCGGCCAGGACCTCCGAGGTTCCCAAACCTCGCGCTGACGGACCGCACGGCGAGGTTGTTGGGGGTTCCGAAGTCACCCTGCGGTCCGTCACCAATCGGTTTCGGGGCCCCGAAGCCAATCGCATCGTGACATCATTCTCGTCCTGTCCCAGCTCCGCGCCCCTCCGCGCATGCGAGGAGAGCGGCGCAGATGTGGAGTGGGCACCGGAGGAAGCGCAGGCCATCGCCCCCCAGCCCGAGCACCCCGCTGGAGTGGCGTTCGCCTGCGTAATTTTGGTGGGTGTTTTCTAATTTTTAGTGTGGGTTTTGTTATTTGGTTATTTTTTTTTTTTTTTTTTTTCCCCCCCCCGATTTTTTCTTTTTTTTTTTTTACTTTTTCTTTTCGCCTGCTCCCTTCATAGACCCTCTCGCGTTGAGAAGACATCTACTGAAGGTCGTCGCGTCTGTGTTTGGCACTGCTTCGGCATCCGGGAGTGCTCTGATGACCCCGGCTGGATTCCCTGCGACATTCTACCCATAGCGCCCCCCCTTTGATGGGCCTGGGGGTCGACTTTTTGATTCCTGGGGTCAGGCCCCTTCGCGTCGTGGAGTCTCATGGCGGAAGGTGTTTTGTGGTTGCTTGCCTCTGAGGGCCGGTGCAGAGCCCGGGGACCGTCGAGCAAACGCAGTGTTGAGTGAATGAATTGTGTTCTTTCGGGCGAAGCTGCCAGGCCACCAGCTAGCAGCTGCGAGTGTGTTCGGTGCCCGTGTCGTGCGTCTCTACAGGTGCGATGTGTTGTACAGCAGGTGATGTATGGTCTTTCTGTTGTGTGCTATTCGTCTGTGTATGCTGCTGCTGTGTGGTTATCGTAGTTGTGTTACACTCGTGCCACTTACGCACACTACGTAAAGGCATGGCTCATCATGGTTTATACCCCGGGCGTTTTACGACGATGCGTTGTGTGGGTTGCGCGCGTGTGGTGTCTGTTTACTCGAGTGTCTCATGCCGTTCCGCCGACCCCAAGAGGAGAAACGACGTCCACGGGTAGGGCCTTCTGCCTCTTGGGAACCGTTTTGATAGGGGCCCGTGGGGACATATCTTTGGGGCCTCTTTGGGGGCCTCTCGTCTTGGAGACTCTTAGGGGTCTGTGGAGCGCCTGCTGCTGGCGGTCTCGGTGGCCCTCGTTGGGCGGAGTGCTCGAGATGTCGGTTCGAGCTCCCCCTCTCGGGCCCCTCTTTTGAGGCTCTCTTGGGGCCCTCTCGGGCTGCCTTTGTGCACGGGCCACGCTGGGGCCCCCTCAGGAACGTTGGGCTGTCATGGAGCGATCTTGGGGGCCTCTTGCGCCGCCTTGGACGCTGTTGAAAACAACAGAATGTAAAATTCAAGTTTTCCGCAGGAATTGAGGCGCGTTGGGCGTATTGGGGCCCTCTTGGCGGTCCTCTTTGAGCTGTCTGGGGGCGTCTTGGAGGCTTTTTGGGTCGTCTTGAAGCTATCTTGGTTGTTTTTGAAGCCTCCTTGGCGTGTTGGAGCCCAGCTTGAGCAGGCTTTGATGGAACCACGAAGTGCAGAATTTTGAGGCTCCAGAGGGCGGCGCTGAGGAGCTCGTGGGAGACCCCCTCCCCGCGCAGCCTCCCCCCCCTCTCTTACCGGATCAGACCCCCTGAGGAGGAGGAGGAGGAGGAGGAGGAGGAGGAGGAGGAGGAGGAGGAGGAAAGGGGCATGGGGACAGCCAATTATCTTACACGCCTTTTGGCCCAGGGCAAGCGGGGGTGGATACATGTGTGTGTGTGTGTGTGCTGTGGATCCGTGTTACAAGGTACGGCGTGTTGTACATCTAGTTTGCGCTTCATGTTTGGTGTATGCCTGGTTGACTGCTGATGTGCGATCAAATCGTGTACGTTATGTTGTTGCCCACGTGTGATTATGATGCTGATGTCTGTCATGCCGCCTTCACTATTGTATATGGTATGTAGTGTTGATTGTCGAGTTGCCTCGGTCTCTTGGATGCCTGATGATGCCTGTTAGCGGCTCTAGGAACGCCTCTTGGGGGCCTCCCAGAAGCATCTTGAGGGGATTCGTGGGGTCTCGTCTGGCCCTCTGGGGGGCATATTGGGAGATGTCACTCGATACGTTGCGATGTACCTTGCCGCCCGGGCACGGATATCCTGTTGTTTAGGCGAACGTGATGGCTTGGCAAAGTATGCCGTGCCAGTCAGCAACCTGAGGAAGGACGCCTTGCATTTGTTGAAAAAGGACTTGTCGTGGCACCCCGCCCCTGTCAGCCGAAAGGGTAGGTGACCGAAAAAGGACGGTGACCGAAAACGTGCCCGAAGTTGTGACCGAAAACGTTGTGTGACCGCAAATGTGACCGAAGTTGAAAATCGTCAGGGCTTCGAGCCAAACATTGCGGTCGCACTTGGGCGCAGTCGGACATTTTCGGGTACATCTTTCTTTTGGTCCCACCGAGGCAGCGATTCGGGCACAGTTTCGTTCACGATGCTTCCCTGATAGAGACGAGGCTACGTGAGAGCTATGATGCTCCAACCTAATTTAGCCTTGGCCACCAGAAAAAGGATCGAGCACCAAGAAAGCACCGAAACTGGAGGGCTTCCACGTGTCGGGCCCCGGGAGGCGATACTCGCTCGACACTGCTTCGGTACTTCTTCTGGGTGCTCGAGATGATGTCTGGGACGTGGCCCTCAAGTCTTCAGTGCGCTGGGAGCAAGAGAACGTGAGAGTTGGCTCGTAGCGTGGGCGCTGCGACGTCCTCGCGCACGCGTGCCCACGGCACAGTGCGAGAGATGCCGGGGCGCCGCGCCGCGAGGTGCGGCTGCGGGGCTCCGCGGAGCAGGCCTCGCCGCCCCCGCGCCGCCGCCGCCGTGCCCGCCCGCTCCAGCCCCGCGGCCGGACAGCTTCCTCCTCCTCTCTCCTCCTCTCCTCATCATCCTCCTCCCCTCCTCTCCTCCTCTCCTCCTCCTCTCCTCCTCCTCTCATCCTCCTCCTCTCCTCCTCCTCCCTCCTCCTCTCTCCGCCTCCTCCTCCTCCTCCTCTCCTCCTCCACCTCCTACTCATCCCCTACTCCTCCCCCCTACTCCTCTCATCCTCCTTCATACTCCTCCTCATCCTCCTCCTCCCTCCTCCTCCTCTCTCCTCCTTCCGCATCCTCCTCCTCCTCCTCCTACTCATTCCATGTCTCCATCCTCCTCCTCCTCCTCCTCCTCCTCCTCCTCCTCCCCCGCGCGCCGCCTCTCTCGGGGCTCTTCTTCGGGCGGGGCTAGGACGAGCCTAGCTCCTGCAGACGGCGGCCTTCTCGTGTGCTCCGACGTTTGGTCCGACGCGGAGAACCAGCACGGTTTCGGCACGGAATTGACGCAGCTGCGACATTGGATGGCTGGCGCGATGGGCCAGCCGAGGTCCCCCAAAGATGCGACATTCGTGCGGGGTTGGGACGAGCAGAAATCCGCTCCAGAGCGTTCCCGAACGCTCTCAGAGCGTTCCGGAGCGCTCTGAGAAGGCCGCGGCGGCGCCCGAGACACCCTCCAAAGCCGCCGGATCTCAGAGATTCTCGATTTGTCCTCCCTGGGTTCTATTCTCGTCCTGGCTCCGTCTCAGCTCTCGGGTCGCGCCTTCGGACGCAGATTCGTTGGCTGCTGGAGGTTTGCCTGCCTCAACATGTCGGGTTCGTGACCGCGACAGGAAACCATTTCCGTGTATCCTCCAGGGCTGCAGCTCTTCTCGTCCCGCCAGCTTGGGCGCGGCTCTGCCCCCGCAGAAGGGCTGGATGGACGCTTGCTCCCTCGCTTGGGGTTTGCCTGCCTCGGGGCGCGTTCCCCGACGTCCTCGTCGCTGCCAAAGGAACACGGCGGAGAGATGTTGCGCAGTTCTGGGGCTCCTACACGGGGCGTGGAAACGACCACAGCCACTGCTTTTCTTTTGTTGCCGCCTTCCAGCCCGCAGAAACAGAGTAGTGGTTGTGGTCATTTTCGTTGAGCTTGGCACCAGGGATATGACCACAACTACTGCTTCTTTTTCGCCCGGCTGGAAGGCGGCGCAAACAAGAAGCAGTGGCTGTGGTCATTTTCCCGTCCCGCATCCTAGGGGCCGTCACCGGCCCCCGGGAGAGTCAGAAACGACTCAGGATGCAAAGCCGCTCCCAGAAAAGCGGTCCAGACCTCTGGGGAGCCACGTTGGGACAATCTCCCGACGGAGGATTTTTGGGTTTCAGCAGCTGCGCCAGGCCGAGCTGTAGCCCCGGGTC